GAGTGGCTTCAAGTTTCAGTTTCGAACAACTGGTGGTCTCTTCAATCATCAGTGCTTCAAAGCCAAGACCCACCTTCGTACGCATATTATTTGTGATTTGTTGTTTGCTGATGACGCGGCTCTTGTAGTGACATCCTTTGAGGAGACCCAACATCTAATAAATCATTTCAATGCTGCATGTAAAGGATTTGGTCTTACACTTAGCATAAAGAAAACTGAAGTTGTGCACCAACCTTGTCCTACTCCGAAGCAATTGCGTGGTGAGAAACAAAAACCACCAGTCTACAAATTTCCAGAGAAACCATTGAAAGTAGAAGACAAACCCCTGAACTATTTAAAGTCTTTCACCTATCTTGGTAGCAAAGTCAATTACAGTGAAACTTTAGATGATGAAATCATGCATCGGATTGCAAAGGCTACCAATGCTTTCGGCAAACTTTGCCATTGCTTGTGAAATGAGCAGGGTATTCGACTGGACACGAAAATTCAGGTTTACAGAGCTGTTGTACTTACCATCCTTTTGTATGGCTCAGAGTCATGGACTCCATACAGGTACCATATACACTAGCTAGATGTTTTCCATAAAAACTGTCTGCGTGCAATCTGTGGAGTTAAGCTTCAAGAAAGGACCTCTAACGTAGACGTGTTTAACAGGTGTAATATTGGAGGAATCAAGACTTTTATCATACAGTCTCAGTTATGGTGGACTGGTCATGTCTTGAGAATGTCTGATGACAGGATACCCAAGATCCTAATGTACAGCCAGTTAGATCAGGGCTACAGGAATGTAGGACGCCCATGGCTGAGATACAAAGACAAGTTGAAAAGCAACTTGTCGGCAGTCAATATACCACATAACACTCTTGAGCGCTTAGCTTTGGAGCGGGTAGAATGGCGATCAACGTGTTTTAGTCGACTCAGCAATTTTCAATCTGCTTGTCTGAATCATCTTCAAGAAGCGAGAGCAAGATCTAAAAGGTCAGCCAATCTAACAGTGATCTCATCTCAGAATCTTCACACTTGCTCCATATGTGTCCTCCTTTGTAAATCACTAGTGGGTCTTAAATGTCACTTAAGATTATTGCACAAAGTTTCATAACTGAATCAATAAGCTGTCAGATCCTCATACGTTGAAACTAACGGGAGAGTCCATTATTATTATTATTATTATTAATTATTTATATATATATATATATATATATATATACACTGCGTGCCAAATTATTATTGAGATAACTTTTTTATAATATTTCAAAAACCGTCCAATCAATTCACACAAAATTTTCACACAATGTTGGCAACACTGACCTGCGTAATCACTGAAATTTTTGTACTGATCTGCGCAATGTAAACAAACTGCCGCCATATTTGTTATCAGCACGGTGATTTGAGTGTGCCAAATTATTAGAAAGGTTTAGTAAAATTCCCAGAATTGAGCAAACAAAACGTTTATTAATATTGCATGTGAATGTTTATGATCAAAAGGAGCTAATAAATAAGATAATCAAACAAATAATAACAGATACAAACAAAGGCACAGTTTTAAACAAATTAATAGGGAACGTGCTTTCCCTGTTTTGAAGAAGTCGATGATCCATAGAATTTGTTAATTGTAGGATGTCATCTGCTGTAATGCCGTGAGATATTTCAAAAATTGCTTGCCACAACTCAGCGTTACTCCTGAATTGTCGTCTGTTGGCATACAGTCTTCGCTTCATGATGCTCCAAAGGTTTTCAATTGGGTTCAAATCCGGAGAATTTGCTGGCCACTTCATTTTTCGAGGTCCATCGAAGCCTAACTGTTTCAAATATTCAGTAGTCTTGTGAGCAGTATGTGAGGGAGCATTATCTTGCATAAAAACAATGGCCCTTCTAAAGGTAACTCTTTGCCTTTTCATCCACGGTTCAAGATGCTCCTTCATAAACGCTATGTATGCATCAGCAGTCATTTTGACACCATCTTGTACTCTCCATGGGCCCACTAATGTGTTTCCAATAATACTACCCTAGATCATTATGCCTCCACTGCCTTGTTTGGCGTCTCAAATGCTGATGGCGATTCTGTCTGTTCATTACCCAGCCTTTGCACCATCTATTTGGCCTATCAAGTGTTGCTCGAGTTTCGTCTGTGAACAAAACTTTAGAGAAGACAATCTTCATATTGTCCTCGGCCCATTTCAATCGATTTTGAATGTGATTTTTTGTCAACGGAGGCTTCCATACAGGTTTGACTGTTGTTGCTATTTCCCTCAGATACCGACACCGAGTACTTTTAGACACAGTAGGATCCCCAATTCAACTGAAAAGCTCTTGGCTGGTAAGTCCAGGATTCTTTGTGGCCTCTTGTTTAAGTCGTGACATGAGACGACGTGAAATAACCCTCGGCTTGCTTTTATCTGCTTTTTTGTGTACTTGTGTAGGGCAATGAACTTTTCATTTTAGAAATTTCTAAGGTAGATTTAGATTTTGAGAGCTCTGAGGTGATAATTTTCTTTTAAGCATCACTTAAACTGCTTTTACGGCCTATCTTTTTGCTAAATTCTTACACTTTTATAATAATTTGGCACACTCAAATCACCGTGCTGATAACAAATATGGTGCCAGTTTGTTTTGCCTTCAGTGAAGGAATCATATTTTTAAAAAAAAATTATAATTATATATATATATATATATATATATAGATATATCTACATATCTATTGATATATATATATTAATAAATCAGAGACTTCAGAAAGCCATGGTAATATTTTATTTCGCAAAATTGAGAAATTCGATTTCACTTCGCCAGACCTCATGGTTTCAAAACAATGAAGGATCAAAAAATTCTTCCAGGAATCAACCGAAAAACAAAAAACAAACTTAAAGGAATTTGTGTTTTAAAATAGTTCCAAAAAGTAGTAGGAGGAGAGAGGTAGCTGGGGGATATGTCTCTAGGTGACGAGTTAGTAGTAGTGATGACCTCTTATTCACTGGACAAGAGGAGGGAGTGGAGATGAATTTTTCAAGAGAGTACAAAGAAAAATGAAAAAAATAGGTAAGAGGAAAATGAAGGGAGGACGAGAACATACACAATTCGATATATATATATATATATATATATATATACACACACACATACACATTTTTGTATACCCACACATTTATACATACACATATTTGCATCCATCTACTCGTTTTCACATAAATGTGTTAACACATACATATATACCCACACATATATACATATACTAACATATCCATCTAAGTGAATGCACAGACTCATACTTGATGAGTGCATGCCTAAAATATATATATATATATATATATATATGTATAAACAGCACATGTACTCATTCATTAAAAATGACATAATGCTCACCTTCTATAAGGCCCAAGATTCGCTCAAGGTAGATGGTTACAAACTAAGAGGTAAGAGGAAGAATTTACGCAGATATGTGGAAAAGATAACAGTTTGCCCTATACTTGAACAGTTTAAGATTGTAGTGATTGGGGAAGCATCCTCTTGGGAGTAGCTGTTTGGGTGGAACTTACATCTCATCAATAGAACATGAAAGGAATGAAGGTGGTTCACTATAATGTGCAGGACATAAAGGTTAGAACTGGTGGAACTAAGGAATGGAATTTGTCTGAAAACTTTCCATGGAAATAGTGATAGAATACCAAGAGGGCTGCAATGTTTCATCTGTAAGAAAGCGGTTTTAGGGTGGAAAATAATTCATCACCCACAAGGCTGCAGATGTGCTTTTGAACGCTATCAAGATGGGAAAGTGAAAATTGGGCAGCTTCTGTCCATATAAGGCAGCAGCATTCTATTTTCAGTTTTTGGGTCTTGTAAATGGTAAAAGATATAGCTTAGAGTAGATACTTCCACAGAGTAATGGATAACAGTTCAGATTGAGGAATCGTGAGTTGAGTTTGAATTCCAGTTGAGTTCATTACATTTACTTACATGCTAATACTCTTGAGAAAAGGTATAAATCCATTTCTTCTCTCCACCGGTATTGGTAAATAGCAGGACACACTGGGTTCTATAGTCTTGGATGGTGAAGGGTTTAGGTAAAGGACAACTCTGAATTCAAAACCTGCGGAGGGTCATTTTTTTTGCCCTGTGACATACTGTGCACCAGTTCTCTGCATTTGGCTCTTTCAAAAAGTGTGGTTGGTTCTGCACAAGCCTTCACCGCTTATAATCAAATGATATATGTGGGTAGTCTGGCTGTTGGTTCGAAGAACTGAGCTGTTTGACTCTCATATGTTGGAAATAACAGGAGAGTCCAGTATATATATGTATATATATACACTGGACTCTCCTGTTATTATATATATATATATATATATATATATATATGTATATATATATATATATAGGAATGGGTAGGAAAAAATATATATAAATGTACAAATACTTGCACATACATAAGTATATTTATTCCTAAGGTGTTATAAACACAATGATCAATGTTATGAAACTGAGCTATAAGTAAATATTAGTGAATATACATAATATTCAATGTATATATATATATATATATATATAATATCCAATGTCGATAGCACTACTTGGAGTTTCATGCAGTTAATGCAATCTTCTGGTAACTGCATGAAACTCCAAGTAGTGCTATTCGACATTGATATTATATATATATATATATATATATATATTGTCATCCACAGACAGACAGTTTTGCTGTTTCACAGCTCATCAGTGTGGCTAGACATCCAATTACCTCAAGCCAGGATCAAAACCCGACTGATTTAGTATCCTCTAAGCCTTTGGCACATGACAGGGATGAAGGTGAATTTAGACGTATTTATTTTTAGACAAACGCCACTAACCGGAGAACTTGATTCATCTTAACGAACAGTCTTATATATATATATATATATATATATATATATATATATATATATATATATATATAGGAAAATAACAGAAATGACCAAGGCTTTGATCTCTAATTCTGAGCCATTATCCATTACACCACCTGTTCATCAAAGCTTACAGCACCTGGTATTCTTAAAGTGGTCACCCATCTAGGTACTGACCAGGCTTGATGTTGCTTAACTTCGTTGATCATATAGGAACCGGTGTTTCAATGTGGTTTAGCTGTAAGGTGCATAAAAATAAAGCTGAAAAATATTTTGTAAGTTTATCTTGGTCTGGCACAAGGATACAAGTGAGGGGCACCTCGTGAGGATCACATTCGATACACAGTAGTAATGGGCTGCAAACTTAGAACGCTAACTACTGTTCCATGGTGAGGTGCTCCCTTTCCAGACATAACTGGAAAATACAATTTTCCATTTCTTAGACATTTTTTTTAATTCTTTAAGACATCTTATTTGTTTGCTTTTTAAAATGGAGATTTTCATTTGTTTTAAATTATTTTTTATTTCATTTCTTGCCATTTTTTTTGTTTCTTTTGTCACTGAGTAGCGTTTAAATATTCAGCCATGTCAACCTTTACATGTCATTCTGCTGTGACAACTCGTTCATTATTTACACCAATGTCGCCAGGCAAAGAAATGGAATCCGGAAGAAGAAAATGCGTTGCTTTTTATACAAAATCTACATTCTTGCCGCTCGCTTCATTGGCAATGTTCTTGCTGACGTTTCAGCAATTCCCTCTTCCTCTTTTACGGCTGCTTCTTCATTTTTTTTTTTTTTCTTTGTGGCTTTAACGGGATTATTGGTCCCAGGCAAGGCAGTTGACATTCCAATGACACCTTTTAAAGTCTTTGTTTCCTTTCCTGTGACTTCTGATGTCAAAAATGCATAATTCAGTGGCTGGATTTTAGAAGAACTATCATTATCTTAACCTCAATAATTGATCAGACTTACAGTTTCAAATCTTGTTGGTTTCAACGCTGCATTTTATCTGAAGCAAAGTGATAAAACCAACAAGGGTGAAAGAGACTATTAGTTTGATCAGTTCAAAATATCTGACAATAGTGATTACGAACTTGTCTTGATTAAATTCAGGTCAACTAGTAGATGCCGGATGAGCAAGAAGCATAATGGTTATTGGTATAAAAAGTGGAATCAGAATGCCAAGTTCAAATTGTAGCCAAGTTTGCTGCATTTACTCTCACACAAGTGCTATTTGGAAAAGTAGGAATCTACCCTTTTTTGCCACCAGCTATGGGTTAAATAGGACAGACTTAACTCTCTCTCACCCCCTTCCCATTGGCAATCAGTCTATACGAAAAGCAACTCTGAATTGAAAATGACTTGGGGACTCTAGTAAGCAACTTCAAACTGTAGAAATCCTAGTTGCCATAGAAACTAAAGTAGGCACACCTAGTGTAATGAGACTGTGGCCTTATGCTCCACCTGGTTTGGTTTGGTTTATTTTGTTTTATGGCAAATCAACTTCAATGAGTTATTTAATGCTGACAACATTTTTAGGATAGATTCCTATGAATAGAATATGTATTCTTTGGTTTAGATTAGTTTGGTTTATTTTGTTTTATGGCATATGGGTTATTTAATAACGACACCATTTTTTATTGCTGGTAATATTTTGTTTTGTCAAAAATCTGTTTCTGGTAATATTTTTCCTTCAAAATTGTATTGCTGGTAATAATTTTTTCCAAAAAAGTATTGCTGGTAATAGCTAACTAATTAAGAGGTAGTTTCACACTTCTCAAAATCTTCTGATCAGAGGCCTTGCTGCTGGACGTAGTTTATCATCTTTCCTAGGACATGGATGTAGTTTAATGTCTTACCCAGGATGATGCTCCACCTGAGAGTTTACAGAAGTTTGATGATGACAGTGAGTTTGTTGTCATACTGTATATTACATGTTTTTCCAAAACATTTATCTATTTGTTTTTTTATTAAAACTAAAATTGCGACATTGATCAAAGCCTGACATTTCCCAGAGTCATAAATATTTCAGTGATCAAGATGCTCTCCTTCCAGTTTCTTCATAATTATATTCAAATCTAGGATTAGCATGAAATTGATCAAAACAACAGACCAAGTTCAAATTCTGAGTGTTGCATTCACTTTGCACTAATACTCTCGGAAAAGGCAGAAATATATCTTTCCAAAGCTATAGGTCAAATTGCAGAGAAAACTGGCTTCTCTTGCTTTGGTTGGCGGCCAGTCTAAGAGAAGCAAAACTGAATTCAACTCCTAGTAAATATTAGAGCAGACTAAGCTCTTCAGCCTCTGTACGGTTCTTAATCCATTTAAACAACTTCCAAGAAATTTATAGAATGCATTCCAGTCATTTTCTGGTGTGGTGCAGACCACGAGGCCATGGAACTGAGTTGTCGACAAGGTATTGTGTAGGCTGGTGGTAACAGTGTGGGGCATCTTCATTTGGGATGGATTGTGTCTGTGTGTCCACTTCCACAAATCATTGGCTCGTAGTGACTGTGAAGTTGCTTCCTGAAGATTTGCAGACATTAATGGACTTTATGTACTTCAACAACAATGGGTTATTTTAACAAGACAATACACCAAGTCATTGGGGCCAAGTTGCCTCATAGTTTCTTGAGAAGCATTCTGGAGACTTGTGAAGCTCAATCAGACATTTAGGAGACATGGCAGAGAGGCCTATTCACAGACAAGATCCTGTGCCTACAAATATAGGGGTCTTCAGTCCATTTGGAGAATCAAGGCCAAATCAAGTTGCTGTACTTTACCATGCTTGTAGGGATTCTACATGGTACGACTTAGCCTGTGACTTTTGAAGGCTTTCTACACGGTACTACTTAGCCCGTGACTCTTGTATGCTTTCTACACGGTACTATTTAACCCGTGATTTTTTAAGGCTTTCTACACGGTACTACTTAGCCCATGATTTTTGAAGGCATCCTACACGGTACTACTTAGCCAATGACTTTTGAAGGCTTTTTACATGATACTATTTAACCAGTGATTTTTTAAGGCTTCCTACACGGTATGACTTAGCCCATGACTTTTGAAAGCTTTCTACACAGCAATACTTAGCCCGTGACTTTTGAAGGCTTTCTACATGGTACTAATTAGCCCATGACTTTTGTATGCTTTCTACACGGTACTATTTAACCAGTGATTTTTATGACTTCCTACACGGTACTACTTAGCCCATAAATTTTGAAAGCTACCTACATGGTACTACTTATCCATCTCAGTAATTTGTACAGTATATACCTGTGTTTGCCACATCTATTCTTTACGATAGAGATTTTTTCCAATTCCTCATCTCTATGTGCAAAGACGCCTTTCTGATGACGCAGGTCAATTTGCATGTGATGCAGTGGTTTCCTTTGTAACAAGGCAATGTAAAGTGATTGTGTCATGAGATTTGTGGAGGGTTGTATTTGACTCTGTGCTGCTAACAGATTTTGAATATTGGTGGACTTCAATAAACAAAATGAAGACTTGTGTAGAAAATGAATGGCCAATGTTTATTGATGCATGTAGGTACAAGATGCAGACATATAGAGAATGGTCAACCTAAAGTCTCTATGACATTGGGTGAGGGTGGCCGAATCTCCTTTTCATTGGAACGGTTACCAAACATGTCTGAAGTCAATGTTTGGGAGGTGAGGAGAGAATGATCATCTTCTTTCCGGAAACAGGGTCATAAAATTCAAACCTGGATTTGCAGGTAGTGCAATGGATAAAGGTTAATTGTTAATTGGAAAGCAGAGTTCCAATTGCAGTTGGGTTATTATATTCATTTGTGCACAAATACCTTTGGGAGAAGGTATGAATCCACTTCTTCTCTCCCCAGCTATGGGTTAATTAGTAGGATGTGTATCAGTAACTTCTTATTATTTAAAAAAAAACAAAAAACATTTTGGCTTTAAATAACCTGCAACCCACAGGAAATGAAAGACAATCAATCTTCACTGTGTCCCAGAAATTTCAACTGTTCCTTTTTTGTTTCCATTATTTTAAAAAATCTTTTTGTTATTCCATTCATCATCTTTTCAGCATCCTTGCGTAAAACCACATCTCAGTTGCCTTAAGTTATCTTTTCATCTCAGTTTTGGGAAAAAGTCAACATATTTTAGAGAATGGAAGCTATATCACCAAATAAACACTTTTTTAATTTTTATTTTTTTTTTAATCAGTATCACCCCATGCAAGGCAGTAAAGCCACTGACACAAGGGGTTACAGGGTGTGGGTGAATTAAGAACAAAAACATTAATAATGAGTAGAAAGAGAAGAGAGTAATCAGGAGGATAGTAGATAGCGATTGACATTGCATTTAAATTTTGGCAGTTTAAAGTTGGCTGGAAAATATGGACCCGGAAGGGAGTTCCACAAGCAAGAAGTGTGAGAAAAGAAACTGCTGGCATAGAACTTACAGTTACATCCCGTCAACTCAACTGTCAATTGATGAGATCTTGATGCCAGTCTAGTACTGAGCTTAAATTCAAAAAGTTTAGATAACATAGTGAAGAACTCAGTCAAACAATTTAAGTATTAAATTCTATATTGTCAAATATATTTTACTGCCAATATTCAGGCATACATTGTTGTTGTTGTTTTTTTTTTTTTATTAGTGTCACCCTGTGCAAGGCAGTAAAGCCACTAAAAACACAAGGGGTTGCAGAGTGTAGAAGAATTAAGAACAGAAACATTACTAATGAGTGGGAAGAGGAAAGAGTAATCGGGAGGACAGTAGATAGTAATTGACATTGCATTTCAATTTTTGCAGATTAAAGTTGGCTGGGACGCAACGGGCCAGAAGAGAGTTCCACAAGCGAGAAGTGCGAGAAAAGAAACTGTTACCATAGAACTTATGGCTACATCTAGCCAGCTCAAATCTCAATTGATGAAATCTCGATGCCAGTCTAGTACTATGCTTAAATTAAAAAAAAAATCTTGGTACCATAGTGAAGAGCTTGTCTGAACTTATGTAATGAAGTTGGGGGGGGGGGGGGCTGATAAAATTATACCACAAGAGTTAAATCTTCATTACTTGATATTTTATTCACTTCAATATTTCATCAGTTACACTTGGTCAGTCTTTGGTATGCAGTCCTTTTAGAGTCCTCAATCAAACATCCTTATGTTCTCCTCTGCAATGTGTGAGAGACTGCCCAAATAATTTTTAGGACTGTTGTTTATAACTCCTTCTGTCCAACATTCTC